AAAAATAGCCAATGTTCTTTATGTATTTCAAATGCCCTTATATTGGAGGAGAGACAACATACAACCCCTAGCACTTCTTACCAATCTTATTTATTCAGCACTGTTAGAACACAGGCCATAGCATAAATATTATTATGACACTTTTTCCCTCTCTCTTTCCTCTCCTCCCGGGAACAAGACAACAATTTGTGAATCCAATATTTGCTTGCTATCTAGAATGTTTCTAGACTGAACTTCTTATCTATTTCAGCACAAATATAAACACCCCCCTTTTTGAGACAGAATCTTACTCTGATGCCCTGGGTGGAGTATAGCAGCCTCATCACAGCTCACAGCAACCTCAAACTCCTGGGCTCAAGTGATCCTCCTGTCTCAGCCTTGCAAGTAGCTGAGACTATAGGTGTGCACACCCATGCCTGGCTAATTTTTCCATTTTTAGTAGAAATGAGATCCCACTCTTGCTCAGGTTGGACTCCTGACCTCAAGCAATCCTCTCACATCAGCCTCCCAGAGTGCTAAGATTACATACATAAGCCACTGCACCTGGCAAGAAGGGTTTTGTATTTTTTTTAAGAGATAGAGTCTCACTTCATCACCCTCGATAGAGTGCTGTAACGTCACAGCTCACAGCAACCTCTAGTTCTTGGGCTTAGACGATTCTCCTGCCTCAGCCTCCAGAGTAGCTGGGACTACAGGCCATAACGCCCAGCTATTTTTTTGTTGCAGTTTGGCCAGGGCCAGGTTGGAACCTGCTACACTCAGTATATGGGTCGGCACCCTACTCACTGAGCCACAGGCGCCACACCCAAGAAGGGCCCATTTTTAACAATGAAATATGTCAAAACTCTACAAACACACAGAAAGAAATGATCCTTTGATTATAGTATCTGTTTCCTGAGAAAATATAAACCTAAGTGTCACTGTTACTTTGTTACTAACTTTTAACTGACTGTGAACTTTACCAATTAAAACAACGTCTATTTACATTTAAAAACAGATGTGGGCAATGCTACATGTGAATGTAGATTCTTAAATTCTCCGCTGTCAGATCTCCCCATCTCATAAACTCCTCAGCCCTCCCTGGGATTGGCCTTGGCCAACTGAAAATCATGGCTCTGACTACTCTGGGCTCCGATCTTCTTTATTGCTTAAAGACTGTATGATTTTATGTGAGTTCAACGAAATATAGCAACACAGTGCTGGCAAAAACTTTAGTACAGTAAAATTCCTTCTGTTCACCTAGGATGTTTCTGGGATGATTTGTCAAAGGGTCCCTGCAACAGCCAGTTCTTCTATACATACACCACCACCCCCCACTTTCTCTACCCTCCTTGTCCCTTCCCATAAAGCACTAAGAACTCCTATCTGGGTTGCTTAATAAATAGTCATTTACTAGCCCTCTATATCCACACGTTCCACATTCACAAATTTGAGCAAACACAGAAAATATTCAGGGAAGAAAACAAAACTACAACACAACAATAATAATAATACGGCATTAACAATAATAACTTAATATAGTATTAACAATTTATGCAGCATTTATACTGTATTAGACATTATAAGAAATCTAGTTGATGACTTAAGTATCTAGGAAAAATGAATAGGTTATAGGCAAATACTACATCATTTTCTATCAAGGATTTGCGTATCTGTAAATACTCAAGTTACTGGTATTATGTGGGGGTACTAGAACCAAACACCCATAGACTCTGAGGACAACTGAACTACCTTTTATCCAGCTATTGTGGTTATTACTACTATTCTTCTTGCTCATACGTGCTACCCTACAAATCCCAGGCATCCTACAAAAGGGTAAAAAGAAGAAAAAAAACTTGAAAGCCTTGTTTTTTCATCAAAAATTCACCGTTTATTTTATTACATTTAAATGGGGGTAGATAAGGAAAACTGTAGCTAACACCATCTATCATGTTCAAGATGAATACATTTATTCAACAGGCCCTCGACTGAGGAGGGGAGAGAAGAGACTCGTAGGATTTACTCCAGAAGAACTCTCTTACAGCAAATGTCTCTCTCTTAACTGGCCATAATACATCATCTTTAACTCAGCAGGCATCTATTAAAAATTGTTCATTCAATAATGTTCTCTACTCTTAAAAATGCAAAACAAAAAAATACACAAAACTTTTTGTCCCCTGTTAAGTTTTGGTCCTTTGAGTCAGCCATTCCCAACAGAAGTACTCTAAACCTCCCTGTGAATCCAGTCTATGGATTTTCACCATTCTTTAAAGGTAAAAACATAATTTCAAATTTCAAGGTGGTATTGAGATCTGTTGGGATAGCATGTTTTCTAATTTAGTACAAAACAAAACCTCGAAAATTCCCTTATAATTTTACTTCAAATCACATTTGTATTTTTTAGTGAAGGAGTCTTAATAGTCTACAAAAACAAATTAGGTTTATTTTTTTATTTTGCTTTTCCAATTTTACCAAACTGAACAAAAATAATTCAGCCAATACTAGCTCTCACAAGAATAGAAATTCCCTTCTACTGGGATAAAAATAAGATGGACAAATTATTAGAAACCTCACAACACAGTTTCTGCATCTATTATGTTATGAAGTAGGCATGGAGTTTCTCTACTTAGTTCCTTGAAATAACGAAATATCATTCCATATTGCAGAAACAAAACCAGTTGTAGTGAATGATATAATTCTGTATTTCTCACAAACAAGCGGCTTCTCCCTTCTTTTAAAAAAAGAAGCCAGATTCCTTTATCCTTTCCACCAAGAGATAAATGGGAATGCCAACTGTATGTAAATTCCAAACACCTCTAAGATACAGGCCAGGATGCCTCAAACCACACATCTTAATTAAAAAAAAGAAAGACTTTTAAATGAAGATGGCTGTTGAACAAGGAACTGAAGAATGTGATGGTAATGCTATATGACACTGTAAAGTATTAAATTCCTCAACAGGATATAGTGTTACTCGGCCATGGATTTTTGTTTAACTTCATATTCTTATTTCCTAAATTCTTCCAAACAAATTAAAAAGGCAAATGATTGACTATTCATTATTGGATGACTTCTAATAAAAAGAAAAGAAAAAATATCCTCTGTTTTTAATACATTTACCTTAATAAAACAACTTCTATGTTCACAAAATGTTGGCTGAACCATATGCTACTTTTATCACCCATTAAGTCCAAATATCACAATTGCCAAATATATCTCTAAGCACTCCCCAAAATAACAATAAACAAATTAAGCAAGGCTCTGGTAAACTGTGTATAAAGTTATAAGAGTGGCTAATTTCTAAACTTAAATGTCATGACCACAAGTCCTCCCTTATCCTTCAAATTACCAGCAGAGCCCAAATAAGTCACTAAAATATTTTAGAATATCATCCCTTACAGAAGTCCTTTAACCAGAAAACCTCATCCATTCCTAACTTGTTTTAATAATATTTATCAACTCTGCTCAACTCTTAATTTATCAATAGAGAATTCATGATACCCCCAAAAGTAAACATTATCATTTTCATTTCATTAAGAGTGTTCTTCCTAGTGTTCAACACTAACATTATAGTTGACACCTGGACCACTCACTATTTATACCACCCTCTCCCTTCCCATCACCACCATCTTACTGGCAGAACAGCCATAAGGCTGAAGGCTGTTTTCCATCTCAGCAATCAGAACGCTTACCATCAGATGGGCTAGCTACAGAGAGAAGTAGGAAGCTACATAAAAATAAACACAAACAGTCCTTAATTTCTCTACATTCAATCTCTTAAAAAAGCAGTAACATCGTCTTTGTGGTGTTATAGCCAGAGCTTTTCACCCAATTATAATAATTATTTAACATGATCGTTTTGCCACCAGATCACGTCCTTCATATACTAATGTACTTTCATTAAATCCATTTTACTGTGGCTGGTCCTTCAACTCATATTTTTTAAATATTTTTTGTATCATTCTTTAACTACCAAATTATTTCTCTATGATACTTTCCTAAATATTATATCTATCAGCAAAAAAAAAAAAAAAAAAATGGTAACCCTGAAAACTAACCCTAGGAAAGACAAATCAATATACCTTACGTATAAAATATCAACATTAAGTATAAACTATTAGGAAACCAAAAGAAAGGTAAGCATTAACTGTATGCCCAAGAACCTCAATTTAAAACATTATGTAGTGTACACAATTTTGGTAAATAAAAGTGAACACAATATTTACAAATCAAATAAGCAACTACAGCCCCATTTCTGGCTTTAGATAAGAATATCTTAATTTTATGCATAAGGAAAAATAGTCATTTAATGAAATATCTCCTTACAAGTATAATCATATGATTGACAGATAAAATAATTGCTTTAAAAATACTTCTGAGTCATTTTGTCCTTACCTGCAGGCATGAACCATTACTGCATGCAGTGACTGTTCCATTTCCTAGCACAGACTTGAAGAAGCATCATCTCTTTCAGAATGTGACTAATCTGTGGGTTTGCAATTTCTAAGCTATTTACAAATGGCACTCCCTTTCCACATAAGAATAAATATTTATCACAACCAAAAAATTAGGTATTTTTAACCTACATCTTACAAGTTTAACCTTGGTAATTCTGTACAGCAACAACCTCAAAATACAGGAAGAAAACCTAATAGCAGTATTTCCTTAAAGTGAGCAGGATTTTTTGTGTGTCTCAGCTGAATTATTTTTTTGAAACCTTCAACAGCTGTCACACACAAACCAGTGGTCTACTGTGTTACGGGGTGCGTGCTGCAGCTGATTAGGCTTCACTATTTTTTAAAAAATCAATTACCCTTCGCAAAAGCAGAACAGCCTACCCAAATACATATCGTGAATACAGCACAATACCAGCATGCAGGACAAAACGTTATATAGCAAACTTGATAAGAGGGAGGATATATATATATACACACACACACACACACACACACACACATGTCCTGGTTTGTTTCTTAGCAATGCTACACCATTAATTGTTCATGCAAGAGATGTAGCTGTACCTTTCTGAAGAGGACGACTTCTCAGAGTTAACTGACATCAGCAGCTCAATCTTCTGCTTGATTTCTGGAAAAATCAGAAAATATTCACAACCAGGATTGCCTGCTCTTGCCTTCAAGCCTTATATCAAGAGATTTTTTCTTCTCTAATCCCTTTTGTTCAGAATGAGGCCACAAAATTCGCAGTACTTCTGTTAGGACTGGGATTCAATGGTGCTATAAAGGGAAAAAGCTCCAGAGGCAGCAGGCCTTGCTAAACTATGCACATGACTGTTTATGAAAGCAGGAAATACCATTTCATTTAAGCAGAGGGGTGTCTTCTTTTTTAAGGTAGAACTAGCTCGGCTCTACAGGAAGATTTTAAATTTAGCGAATTAAAATGCAAACAAGAAATGCTAACATCTAAATTCAGTACACTAGATAATTTGAGAAGCCTGGCAAATATTGTTACTGACTGTAACAGACAGATATACAACCCTTGGCTGCTTCTATTTCACTCGCCCTAAAAAATATGGCTCAGTGAATCATTTTTGTCACTTAAGAATGAAATATTAAACCAAAATCCCAATTTATAAATTAAAAAAATTTTAATCTTTGTTATAATTTCTTGATTGTGTTTAATTGAAGATTTATTTAACTCTAGTCCCTAACTCTTCTAGAAAGATACTTATTTTATACCTTAATTTTCCCCTCCTCCTTCACAGTACAGTGCAAGTGAACAGCAACACCCAGTTACCGAGCAGAGATAATATGCTGGTCCTTTTAGGAAAGAAATGACAATTCCATCTACAACGGAAATGTAGGCGCCAGTTGCATTTAATTAAAAGGTAATTGCTGGTACTGATTTGGAAAGAAGATCATAGATTCAAAGAGAATGAAAGGTGAAAATAAAAGGGAAAGAGAAAAGATAAGGGAAAAAAATCTAACATGTTTCTTTTAAAATACCAACGACTGACCTAAAGTTATAAAACTGACATTGTCCCCTTACCCAGACTATTTCAATGTGTAAAGATGTTTTCCTATTTCTAAAAAGTCTTTCCAACTTGATTTTAAAAATTAAAGTATGGTTTCATAATAAAAAGTTCACATACTAGAAATAAAACCTAGTGCCACTCAACTGCTGGAAACAATCTCAAGATTTCAAAATAAACTGCAACAGTTTTTATTTGGGGGGGAGGTTAAAATAAATTTTAATTTTCTAAAATGTTGCCTATATTAATCAAAGTGGAATATCAGAAAATGTAAAATGAAAGTAAAAATTATCTACATAAAATACGATGGATCTATACACAAATATCCTCTGAGTGTTAAGGGATTTTTCAAACTGGTTAAGGTTGTAACTTATCATCTAGTGAGCTTACAAAACTGGCATGAGTTCTGATGAGAGAACAGAATCCACCACAGGCCACTGCCAAACTGCATAGCCACTGGGAAGAGCATAGAGCACAATGCTTACGACAGGGCTGCTAACCATGACTTACCTTACCAATCCTCAGGTGGACTGCAGAGCTTGTTGTCCCTGGGTGTCACAGTGAACACTCCATAATGCCATCCCACCCCCACCCCATTTTAAATAGAACAGACTGTTAGAAAGCTCAGACTTTAGAAACAGGTTCCTCCAACATTTTTTTCATAGCCGTATGACCTTTGGGAAACTACTTAAATGCTCTAAAGCCTCTATCTTCTCTCCTGTAAGATGGGTATAATAATTCTACTTGAAAGGCTGTCGTGAGGATTGCGTGAAATAATCCATGAAAGTAAAGCAGTATTGTGCTCTGGCATGTACTAAACCCTCATTGACAACTGCTACGCAGTCTCCAACAAAGAACAGCAATCCCACAGTAAATACTTCCTGAATGAATTAACGAAGTATATGAGACCTGTGCAACTTTAGTAGCTTCTCCATAGCTCAAAAATTCACCCCATCCCTCTTATCATCAACCCTCAACATTGACCTTTTTGCCTGTGGAAATTTAACTTTAATCCATTTGCAGCCTCCCTTTCTAGAGAATTATTCTCAGTTTACAACCAACTTCAGAAATCAGATTACACAAGAATCCATCTTCATCATGGCAATTTAATTCCAAAAAGGCAAAAATTTCACACATCAGCATATCTATATAAAACCAATGCACATAAGATAAAAAAAAAAAACAAGATTAAACTACACAGCTCTAATGAAATTTATGCCCATCTTATAAACATTGGAAAGAAAAGTTCAAGCTATAAACCATTTTCTGGCTGGTAACTTTGGGAGCTCCAAATCAAAGATGATTTTAATACGACATGAAAAGGTTTCTAACATTTTCTTTTGTTCTGATTCTTTGTGAGACAGAGTGTCAGTCTGTCACCTTGGGTAGTGCAGTGGTGTCATAGTTCCCAGCTACCTCAAACTCTCTTGGGCTCAAGTGATCCTACCTCAAGCTCCCAAGTAAGTGGGACTACAGGTGCCTGCCACCATAATTAATTTTTCTATTTTTAGTAGAGAGAAGGTCTCACTCTTGCTCAGACTGATCTCCAACTCCTGAGCTCAAGCAATCTGCCTACCTCACCTTGGCCTCCTAGAGTACTAGGATCACAGGCACGAGCTACCACACCCAGTCCAAATTCACATATTTGTTCATTGCTACATCTAGAAGGGACGAGAGGTCCAGGAATATTCACCAATGCTATGACAATGTGGTATCTTTTGAGGTCCATATGTCCCACCTGTGACACCATCTACTCCCTAGCCATACCATTCAGGGATAGGGTTACTTTCCACATTCATTAAGAATTCCAGAAGCTACTTCTGAATCAAAAAAAAAAGAATTCCAGAAACCCTTTAATTGACTGCCATTCCATCACAACACCTTCCATAACCCTTGGTATCCACATGAACATGCCCATTTCCCACAGCCCATGGCTAAGGACCTCAGCCTCTTCAAACTGCCATCTCTCGAACTTCTGTATCACCAGAGTCGCTGAGTCTTACAACCACATTAAGGACAGTCTCTTAAACACATTGCAAATATTTTCCTCCCAATTACTCGGTTCTTTTTCAATTTTAATAAATTTTATTTGATTACTTCTGGGATAGTAAATGGGAACATGAACTTTATTTTTCTATAACTAAGCTAAACCATCTTTTCCTCAACAAATTCTGGTCTTCTTAATAAACTTAGATAGGCCTTCCCCATATCAAAAATTTTTAAATCTTCATCCTGTTTTCCTCTAATATGCCTTTTTTTTAGAGACAGTTTCATGCTGTCTCCTGGCTGGAGTGCAGCAGTGTCATCACCGCTAACTACAACCTCCCATTCTGGGGCTCAGGTGATCCTCCTGCCCCAGCCTCTCAAGTAGCTGGGATTACAGGCACATGCCACCAAGTCTGGCTAAGTTTTCTAATTTTTGTAGAGACAGGGTCTCATTCTTGCTCAGGATAGTCTTGAACTTCTAACCTCAAGATATACTCCTGACTCAGCTTCCCAGAGGGCTGGGATTACACGCATGAGCCACACTGCACCTGGCCTCTAAAATGCTTTGTAATAATATTTTGCATGGGCTTGGCACCTATAGCTCAACCGGCTAAGG